TATCTGATTTGCGACTTTATCTTCTGATTGAGAAGATGTACATGTGGATGAAAGATTGATTGCCATATACGTTGTCGAGAGAGGAGCATTATTCTCTATTGGATTTAATGTAGAGAAATTGTTGATAATGTAGTCGTTGTTGTTGTTGGTACAGGAGACATAGAGGTTGTAGGTGGATCTTCATTATCAATTCACAACTCTAATAGATAGTATACCTACTTATATTTTCTCTTTACTCGTGGCAGAAGATCTCATGCAAATCAAATGAATCGTTAACTTAATTTCAGGTGCACAAAAATGCAGACGTTCATTTTTTGACTACTGTGAACCGATTTGTTTTCGTGTTTATCTGTTGATTTAAAACAACCTTTCTCGATTATGATTGTTTAAAAACAGAGAGTCAAATTGAACACAGAGTGGAACAGCTGTTGTTAGAAACAATGTCAATAGCAATGGTGGTCATGATTATGAAGAACACATTTGCGCTTGGGCTTTCAGCGAATGCGCATCAGTTGATGTACAGACGCACAGTGTGCATTCAGCGGACATTAGGTAAAAAAATGAAGACTAACTTTTAAACGACTCAAATAGCAAACGATACACTTCAAGACATGCTCTATCTGATGGCACAAAAAATTTTGTTATGAAGTTCAAGCGGAGTGGAAAACCAGCTACTTAAAACTAGCCTGAAAATAGCATCATTCGTAGGAAAATTAATTTTACGCAAATTTGCACGCCACGGCCCAACTTCAAATTTGTCCAAACATTTTACAGAATACTCTTCTACATTCCCTCTATCAGCACAGTTAGCATAAATTAGCATAAACGTTCCCGGACTTAGATATGGATTTCCAAAAAACCCTTGGTTTTCTGGATATTTCCCATTTTTATCGGCTCAGAAATGTTTTTATTTAATAATGACATATTTAGAATTAGCACAAGAAACTGCATCGAATGATGTGCGATAGCAGGTTTTTTTGAGCAAAAACTTGTTGGATCTGACGAAACGCTAAAGTCGAAACATAGAGTCACAATTTTGGTTAAGGATTTTGATATTTACTATAAAAGCAGTCCGAAAGTCTATAAACACTTTTTTTATAGGTTTTCAGCTATGCTCTTTCCAATGGTGCATTTTATAAAGTTTCAGAATACTTTTGTGTGGGTTTCTACAGACCCGGTCTCTAGAGAACCCAGATGAAAGCCTCTTTGGACTTTTTAAAACACACCATTGGAAGAGCATAGCTGAAAACCTATAAAAAAAAAAAATTTATAGGACTACTTCTGTAGCAAATGTCCGCCTGGCCTATGGAAAAATGCACACTGTGTGAGACGCTAGTTCGTCGTTAGAGCCAAGCTAGTATCCTACAATTAAGGTGCTCTAGCTGTACTGCTATTCCATAGTGGACATCGGGATAGACACTTAGCGAAAAAACGAATGTGTTTATTTTTCAATTTCTCAAATATTTTCAGCGGACAAAAAAGTTCACATTGCAGGCTATCTAAGCCTAAAAATAAACTTTTAATTGCTTTCTATTGATGGAAAAACTCAGCCTGAAAGATATCATTCAAATGTGTAGGAATGAGTAAGTTCCAGTTTTTTCACATGAAAAACAGTGTCAAAAGATAAAAAATGAGTCTACAAATCAAGTATGCTTTCTGACCTAAATGATAGGAAAAAAAATTCTTGTTCATTGCCAATACTCAGGGAAAAAATTGTTTTCCGAACTGAAAACTTTTCCAAAAAAAAGGACTGCAACTCGATGCGTTTTATCATTTTTCCTCAGCTTCAATTTTGCTCGAACTTTGCGCATATCTTCTTTACTGTATGATACATCTATAAAATTAGTGTGTCGATGCATATGTGTTTCGTTTCGTTTCGTTTCTGAATATAGGTTTTCTTAAAAACCATGATTTTGAGCGTAAAATCCTATTTTGCTACCTATAAGACATTTTAAAAGAAAAACCAATGTAATATTTGGAATCAGCGCGTCGTGTTACATCACATCATGTATAATAGAATAACTTTTGGATCGAACAAATATCCACTGGAAGTTTTCCCATGAGCCAGCAAGGCTGATCTACCGAAAGAAGAAATTTTTGCTGAAAATATTTATTTTTTCTTTAAGAGCACCAAAGCTGACTAAGCAATGATAATTATTCATGAAAAAATGGTTTAGGAGTAAAAACCTGAGATGTCCGCTTACTATTAGAAAAATGCCTACTATGTATTCTTCATTCCATTTTTGGTTCTGAAAAATGTATGAGGAAAAAGCAGCTCAGCTTTGTAACAAAAAAAGGTAGAAGAACTCTCTAGATTTAACTATCACAATCTACAAAAATAGATGTACGCTAATCCTAATAAAACAACTTAAGCTTGTGTGATAGTAATAACAATAATTTAAAATAGATACAAGAACTGTCTCTAAATTGCTTTAAAAAGAGAAGAAATAATGATCAAGAGGAAATGCAGAAATATGCACGCTTTCTTTGTTTCTCTTCTTTTCTCAATAAAAAAAAATTATGTGGGCGTTTTAATAATATATTTTTAAAATATCCAAAACTACATTCAACACTTCTAATAAAAAATTCTCTTCACCTTTTTGGGCTATTTACGACTACATTTTTATCGCTGATTTTTATTTTATTTTTTGCAATAGTATTAAGCTGAGCATTCAGAAAACTAACAGCTATGATCTTGATATGCGAATGTTGTTTAAGATAAAGATGCCCGTTTTGACATGAAAATACTTCATGATTTAATCTCTTCAATTTTTCTATATTCTTTATTTTCATATACAGAGACGTTTAATATAAGATTTAAATTATATATTCTAATAGAATCCTGCTTGAAGCAAACAAAAATCGTTCATGCTGAGTTTTACAGACTCGGACTAGGATATATATAGGATGCACATGTCTTAGAAAATTTTATCTATCCACAAGTACTTAAAATCATCTAATAAGATGTTTCTGATGAATTTTAGACACATCAAAACAATAAAGTACTCCAACTTATCATGTACTATTCATAGATCAGTACATGGATCTGATTATTTAGCCGGCATCGTTTTATAGAATGTCAGAGAAAACTGAAAAATAACAGTTTAAACAAAAAGCGGCTAACTAAACGTTAGAGAATCTTCGATTCAAAGATAAATGCTCTACGCTTAAGATCATAGAAATCTATTAGTCAATATCGAAAGTCTCATTACTCTATAATTTAGTCCCTAGTATTTAAAGAGATCTTCGAAATCTATTTCTTCCTTTTATCAAGGTCGTTCTCTCTCTCTCTCTCTCTCGCTGTTTATATAGTTTAAATTATACATGCAAAATAGATTGGTGTGTCGTCCATAAAAAAAAACAGTATATCGTGACAAAAAGTTCATAGAGAAAAAAGAACGTTATGTTTTCGATGTCTCTTGTCAAGATCCATGTGTATGTGCATTCATGTCGAACAACAAATGTGACTTGAAACAAGTTTCAACGTCAACCTTAAAAATATTGAAGATTGATGTGATGACGTTCAAACACAAACATGTTAAATGATACTTCACTTCATATTTAATTGAATGAAATCTTTCTATATAATAATAATAGTTAAAATCAAAAATGGTCAAAGAAAAAAATTGAGCGTATAAAAAACAATATCTATGTTCATTTTTTATTCGATCTTTCTTCAGATTATACAAATTAAATGGATGTCCATTCTCACATCAATCGTTTTATCAAACTTTTCATTTTCATTTCATGATGATAGTGTTTACTTTTATCTCATTTGCATGCTTGTCTCGATACACATCACAAACTTGTTTTCGAGGATATTTTTTGGAACACTAATTTGAGAAATGTGATTTGAGTAACTTGAAATGTGTAAAAATTATAACTACACGGTAGATAGCGTCAACTAAATCAAAGAATATGACTATGGACACATCAGATAATAGAAACAAGACTACATTTGTTTTCATTTTAGCGAAAGATAACCATAAGTATAAAGATTGATGGTCAGAAGTCGAAGGAGAATGAGACACAAAAAAGAGAGAAGAAAGACGACTAAGTTGTAAATTATTCTATTTTATGCTTAAGCTCAAAAATATGTACAATAGCTGTATATGAACACACATACACACTCAGAACCATAAAAAAAACCATCTATGTAGAAGAAAAGAAGAAAATCTCGTCATACACAATTATTCTCACCGATATAATTAACCGGGCGATAAAAAAATTCTATTTTTTATATATATATATATATTTCTTTGTTATATCTTTGTGGGAGAAATTGATAAAGAGAGAATACCGTTGAACGGTACAATACATTTTAAAACAAAAGGAAACTAAGTCGCGACACCTTACATAAATTGGTAAAAATATTTCATTTATTTTTTATCTCTTTAATATATTAGTATTAACAAAAGTATAGTAATAAATAAATACTACCTTTAGGCTTTCTCCATCTATTTACGGTACTTGTTGAACAAAGTCAAGGTAAATTAAAAAATATATTAATCTCAGCTTTTTAAGAGAATATTTATTTCAACCATAGAGATTACATGAAGTGTCATGTTAAACATAGGTGTATTACATAATATTAAAAAAAAAAAAAATCACTGTTTTATGTTGAATCATGAAATCATAAATATCTTTAGACATTATCGTATTTGTTATACATCTAAATAAAGAGAAAAGTTTAAAAATTTCATACTGTTCATTGTTCAACTTGTGACGAATAAAAGTTTTTTTTTTTTTGAAATGAACAATTAAGATAGTGAGAACATATAACAACAGTATTGTCTAAAAAACAGAGATACGATTGTATTAATTAATTAATTTTAATGTTTACGGTCAATAATAAATAGTTGTTTTTTTAATTATATCTAAATTTGTGCATAAGTCTTTTGTTTACACTGTAGCACAGATCTTTTTGATTGTTTAATATATAAACTAAAAAAAAGTTTTTTATCCATTTGTTTAGAAGTCGTATGAATGATTGATTAATGATGCTAACAATTCTGTTTTTCGTATGGTTGACACTACAACGAATCGATATTGTGCAACTTCTTCATTTTCAAAATTCGTCAACATTTGTTATTTATCCTCATTTACAATTATGCACTAATGGATCATTTTCATTTGAATTTCGAACAATAAATAGAGATGGTCTTTTGTTCTATACTGATGATAGTAACATTAATGGTAATTATATATCGATTGAAATAATTAATGGAAAATTATTAGTTGAACAACGGTTAATAAGTCAGCAACCATCTCAGCTCTATATTGGAGAGAATCTAAACGACAATAAATGGTATAAAATTGTTTATAAACGAAAGAAATCTGAAATAGAAATTCTATTATATTCAGTTGCATTAAGAAATATGGAGAGTCAAATACTGACAATCAATGAAAATTTATTATTTGGCAATGAAACAACAAATTCAGACGTTTATCTTGGTGGTTATCCTCCCTTACTTAAATCTTTTAGTCAAAAATCATTTATGTTGTTCGATGGTTATATTCGTAATTTAAGATATGGTAATTGTGGATGTTCAGAAAGTATTCAACGTCCGTTCTATTCTACCACATCCGATTCAGAATATTGCGAAATACATCCAACAATTTGTGATAAACACTGCGAATGTTTAAGTGTAGACGAAAAACCACATTATCAATGCGATTGTAGTAATAAAACATGCATGTCAACTGGTAAGTATAGTTTATATTCGTTGTATTAGATACCCAACTTCACCCTATAAAGAACTTCTAAAGACTTTTAAGAACATTTTCAGTTTGTACAGTATTGTAAAAAAGCCTTGTTGGCACTCCAACACAAAATCGACCATATCATGGTTTTAAGATTTTCGCTACATTGTTTTCTTGTGAAAAACTGCTACACTGGCTTCTTACCACATACTTTCGATTTACATACTCTATAAGTACATAAAAATATTTCATTGTATCTAATAGTATCTGAGTGTATATAAAAAAATGATATGATAAATTGAGTTGAATTTGAAAATCTCCAAATTGATCAAACAGTACCCCGACGCTACTATCTCATCATGTTCTAATCAATAATAATGATGATACTGATGCCTGATGTATTCATAACATCATCACCGCCTGGTCAAATAATCTGTTCTGTCTGTCTTATCGTGTATATATACATCCATTTGTGTAATTATCTAAACTATCTAAATTCGTTATACACAAAAAATCAATTGGCTTTTTACACATACACACACACACACACACAGACATTCCATTTTTCACTGCAGGATAAATAAAATGCCTAAAAATAATTTCATTATGGATAAGAAGATGTTACAAATGTTTTACTTTCTTTAGGGTTCTTCATGAACTTCGAAATGAAAGAGAGGGAAATACGTATATTCGATTAAAATGTAATGTATTTATAATGTGACTGACCGATGCATGTGTGTGTATCTGTTTATATTCATGGATAAATAGTCGACAACATGTAAAATAAGATTTTCAATGATCATCGTACAACGAGAAAAGCATTCTTGTTGTTTGTTATGCTGTCATATCATTCCTCTAAGCAACGTTTTTTCTCCTCGTTATTAAGGCTGCCCTCCCCCCAGAAAGTTATAAAAAATTATGAAATTTTTAAGTTTTTCATTCAAAACCTCTTCATAGCTCTTCAAAATGAGATGTCTTATGAATTTTCGTGGAGATATAAGAATCGCTGCAAATACCCTGAAAAACAGAGCCCTGTGTTTTTGATGTGGTCCGTGAAAAATCGTTTTTTTATATGGGACTTTTAGTATTTTTCGAATATCTCGAGAACGAAAAAATATTTTTCGAAAACAAAAAAAACGAACCTGAGATAGAGCCTAAAGTATCTGTGGTAAAATTTTGAGCTCGATCGAACCATTTTTTCGGGGGGTGGTAATGTGGCCTGATGAAAACTGGAGTTTTCCAGAAAACCCATAGAAGAACATATCAGAAAATTCTGGGCAAAAATATATCGATTTTCTTTTTTGCTATTCTATCTCTGGTATAAATTTCACACGATCCGACACCGGCTTCCCCGGTTTCCAAGAAGGTCAAAAAAGAGGGGAGACTCTAAATCTGTACTGTTTTGAACAAATTGTTGAAATATATACCAGTGTGGTTTGTCAGATGGAGAAGAGTTAAATTTATCCGTAGAAAATAAAAAATCAGAAATTAACGATTGAAAATTATATAAAAGCGAATTGCTTTTTGTTCTATCGGTAGTACTTAAAACAAATGAGTACCGGTACAGAAAGAAGATCGATTGTTTCTATAATATTTTATTCTATCACTCTTCAGTTCTGTTAGTATTTCATGATAAAGAGCAATTTTTGAATAAATTTTATGTTGATACATATCTTTTCGATCGATAGTGGTATGCTACTTTTGTAAAACCGTTTTCTTTGTGAACACGTCGCTTCTGTTCGTTTTTTCTCTACACACGCCTCATCAGATTGAAGATGTTTAGAAAATCTATGAGAGCAATTTAAATTTTACTTGACAATTCGCTGAAACTATTTTTTCCAATAGTAAAGAATTGTTAAAAACATTCGATAAATAAAAGTAAAGTTAGCTTGGCATTTATCAAAAACTCTCTTCACTAATACGAAAGTAAAAGTGAATGAAAGAACCAATAAAAGAGCATAAGGAAACGAGGCTCAAGTCTGCTCTGTGAAAGTCTGTAAAACCGAATTGAGTCTATGCTATACTAAGATCGCTTTATAGTTTATGTATCGAGTATGATTAAAACACGAACGAAGATCATAGCAAATAAATAGTTATAATAGTGAAACTAACACTTAGCATGTTCTAACGGTGCTAATTTAAACGTAGCACAACATTCCGACATGGATTAGAGACATATAACAACAAGAAATACCCGACATCTCTACTAAAATTCTTATGAGTTTCCTGGCAGGATTCGAGACATATGCTAATAATATCCTATTAGGATTTCACTTTAATTTTTTAGGATCCTAACAAAATTCTACAATATTATAATGAAACCGGGTATACCCGAAAGTCATAGGATTTTCTAAGATTCTGTTAGGATGTTAAACGAACTTAAGTGAAATTCTAGTGGGATCCTGTAGGAAATTATTCGACGGATACTAAATGTTAGGATCCTGTAAGATCCTAATAGGAAATAGACAGAAAGTGCATAGGATTTTGTCTTAGGATATTGAGTAATCCAGAAAATTAGTTATTTTATATTTTGATTAAAACTTCGTTCCGCTTACGAGGCAACGTTTTTAAATGCCCCCTCGCTTTTTCAACGAGACCTATGGTTATAGGTTATCGATGATGCTGATTCTGAATATAAATATGAGAGCTGCTCTTAGGGCTTCGAAGACCCGGTTTTCTGGAAAACCAGTTTTTCAGAAACTCTGAAAAACAACCAAAGCTTTTTTAATGAGCCATACTTGTAGGCCACACATTTCTGATTAAAATGGAACCTCTCCCAACTCTACATGGCCTTTCTTTCCAAAGTTATAGAATTTACAAGAAAAGCCGTAAATATTCATTGTCACCTCAAAGCTACAGAAATAAGAAATTAATTTAGGGCTTTTCTTGGAAATTCTACAACTTTGCAAAGAAAGGTCATGTGGAGCTGGGAGAGGTCTCATTTTAATCAGAAATGTGCAGGCTATAAGCATGGTTCATTAAGAAAAGCTTTGGTTATTTTTTAGAGTTTCTGAAAAACTGGTTTTCCAGAAAACCGGGTCATCGAAGCTCTAAGAACAGCTTTCATATTCATATTCATATTCACAATCAGCATCATCGATAACCTATAACCATAGGTCTCGTTGAAAAAGCGAGGGGGTACTTAAGAACGTTCCCCCTTTAGTCTGTCTGATATCTTTTTTTAACTAAAGATGTGCCGTAAAATTCTTTACAAATGATTTATCTGTCAAAAGTACTTTATCTCTTTAAAAATTGTTCACAAGTCAAAATATATATGATAGATCAATAAAATCACTTTAGCTGATGAAAAAATATTCACCTAAACATGCTGACTAAGAGCAATGCTATATTGGAAATTATTATAATACCAACAGAAAGCTGCCAAAAAAACTCTCATTTATTCAACAAGAATAAATTTTGTTTTGTTTTGCTTTGTTTTTGTGTTTTCGGTAAAAGTATTGTTCCTCTATGAATGATTTTTCATTTATTTCGTTCTCTGTACCAGTCGAAAAAGTGACTACTTGTACTCTTAATACCCATCGGATCAATACGAGAAAAAAGTGTCTTCGGTTCCGAAAAGACGGATAAATGGGCCTTTTTTCTTTCGTTCTGTCGAAAAAAATCGCATTTCTCTGTCTTTTTCAGAGCCCAAGGACGCTTTTCCATTTAGAATAAAGCTCGTTCCTGTACAGTTTTGGAGAAAAATGTTTGAGGATTATTCTGAAAGAGACGAAATTTTTAAAACAATTTCAACAAGGCAGAAAATAGGATGAGAAGCAAAATGACTGTCAAATCATAGTATAAAATTAAAAAAATAAAAGCTTTTTGAGAAACTTTTTGTATCATTGGATTCACACAGATATTAGAAAAAATAATGTTATATTGGGTTGATTCTTGTAACTAAAATAATAGATTTCTAAAGACTTTCTTAGACTTCTCAGCTTTAGGTTTTTCTTCAGCGCAACGCCCTATACACGTTTTACATATATATACACTATATATATATGCAGAGAGAGAGAGAGAGAGAGAGAGAGAGAGAAACGAGCCAGCTATTTGTTTTCAATTAAACTATTCAATGCCGCCGTATTTGTGTACGTGATTATCTGAATCGAAATCTTACTTATTGTTGAAATGAGAACGCATGACAATTAGCTGCGGGAGAGAAGAAAAAAAGTACAATAAACTAAATAAAATGATAATAATTTTTTAATGGAAAAGGCAAACACTATAATCCGCTTGTTTTATTATCGATCAACTTTATCTTGACGTTTGACATCAGACTTTTGTAAATTTTGAGAATTTTATTTAGATTGAACTCACGTTCATTGTCTCACTCAATCAAACAAGAGTCTTCGGATGAATACCATGTTCCTCATTGTTCTTTCTTTGATCAATTATGCAATTCTTGATCTCCTACGATTTCATAATGAGCTAGACTTTCTACGCTCTCCCCAAGAAAGATGAGCATGATGATCTTACTGAGCTCAGTAAGCTGCTTATACTTCTCATTGACTAGTATTATTTCTTTTCTGTATTGATTTGTTGAAATACGCTATATGATTTAAACATCGACATTAACATCATCACTCATTAGGAAACCTTCCCGTGTCTCGTTTTTTTTGAGAAAACCGGTGGTATTCTTAGACGATATTTCTGCTATGTTTCTACGACAACTCACGGTACATACAACAAAATTGGCATTAGAGATCTGCACAGGCAAGATTGTTTTGCCCATGCCCGTAATCCTACTGAGGATGCTTGTCCATACCTGTCCGTGAATTTGTTTCGCTGCCGCTGCTTGTGCGTGTACGTCCATGAATTTTTTTCGTATATGAAAAAAATTTTCTCGTGCACGCGTGTATATTATGTTGTCCATTCTGTAGCATGTCTCTAACTGTCTATATTTCATTCACAAAGTTCAAACCTTCGTACTATTTTGTTGCTCAAAAAATTTAAAATATCTTTTTGAGAAGCCTGTGCCCATCGAAGGGAAGCAGTTGCCCGACCCTGTGTCTTTCAAGTCTGTTCGTGC